AAAATGAATAACCCCAACTTTCTACTCTCTCATACATCTTCACGGGTCGGAAACCAACTGAAGATTACCAATGACATGGACCCAGAATGTCCAATATAAATAAAAAAATTGTGCCTCCCCGAAGGAAAGGTTAGTCAAAATGTGAACAGTGGTGTGCTATGGGGGTGGGTGGGTGATCTTGCGCTAGGATTGCGTGACCTGCATCCGTCATCACAACAGTGGCTCTGGTTTTACAAAAATGAGCGGGGGTACGGGTTTTGATGGGTGGCCATGCTTCCTCCGGTTCGCTGTGTCTTGGGCTGCCTAGCAATTTAGTCCCCGGTTGTCATCTTGCGCTTGATCGCGCGATGGGTGGTTTGCATACATAAAGAGGTGTCGACCTGTATAGTGCTGTGAGAATTGATTAGGGCGAGTTACTCCGTAATTCTTTTTTTTCATATGGATTGGTGTGAACGATTTTCAAACTCGCCGCAGCGGTGCTCAATGCGTGCATGTGTGACCGGATCACGTGTGGCCGCGTGTGTAGTGGCCCTGGACAGCCGGCTACGTGCTTGCAAAAGATTCTTCGTACCGAGCATGTAGTTTAGTTTAATACATAGACATGGTATGCTAGGAGATCCCGGCCGGATAGAGGACGTACCGCGCCTTGAAGCCATGCTCAGCCAGTGAGCACAGGCCATCATCGCGCTTTGCCGCCCTGGCAGTTCGATTTGACGCGAGTAGACAGAGCTGTTTAGTCAGCCATTACTCTTCTGTACTCTCTACCCCCTCCCCTCCGCGTGCATAAGAAAGAGCTTGCCCGAGGGAGAGTCGTCTGAGGGAAGCCATTCATCTATCCAAGAACCAGAGCACTCTACCACTGCGAGAGCTCTGCTTCTGGAGCGAGCGCGTCGCCGGAGCGGCGGCCAACTGCGAGGTGGGAAAAAATCCCTTTGCTAGATGTAATACTTTCTCGCATTTGCTTGGATGTATACTGATGGGGCGCTCTTGTTTCTTGTTCCCTGTTCTCTTTTGCTCTCCTATCCTTTGTTTCGTTTAGATGTCCGGGTCTAGCCGTTCACGTTGTAGCAAGGTTTATGAGTCTAGGAAGAAAGCCGCGCAGCCAAAATGCACAGTAGACAGTAGTTTCGCTCCCAAATATGTGTACGAAGCGGCTGTTCTTTTTACTGATGAACAGAGAGATGCTGTAAGGGAGATTGGTTTCGGGGGGATGCTAGCTATAGGCAACATAACCCATGTGGATCGGGAGAACTACTGGAGTTTATTCCTAGATGTAGACCTTAAGCGTGGTGCACTCAAGATAGATGATGGCGTTTACGTCACATTCAACGAGGTTGACATCCACAACATCTTAGGAATTGCACTAGGCGGAGATATAGAAATAGAAAAGAGAGATGTTGCGCCTTCAACGGCACAGCTAGCGCAGATCAGAGAGTACCTAGGGTTGCACCCGTCGAGCTTTTACATAACTGTCGGTGACATTAGATGGGCGTTGAAGAAACCATGCCAGACCACCCTGTCTGAAGAGGACAAGATCAGGATCCAGGTCGGTTTTGCCATGCTTTGCATGGCAACTTGTTTTAGTCCTAGGGAGAGGAGGCACACTGTCCCAACGGAGGCGTATGCTATTTGCATGGAGCTGGCTAACCTGCACAGGGTGAACTGGGGAAGATACGTTCATTCTGAGCTCATCGGCGTAGCCCAGGCGGCCCATGCAATACACAGTGAAGGGAAGAGGCCGCAGCTGTACGGGTGCCCGCTAGTGTTGCAGGTGAGGTGCTTGTTTCCATCGTGCGTAGGAATTTGAATTAATATTATGTTTGTTCAGGGCTTGAACTAAATTGAGTCGGTTTGCTTCCGTGGCAGGCATTGTATTTCGACTCGGTCGACACTTCTGCATCTGTCCAGCCTGACCCACTTGTGCGCCCCAGAATAAAGTTCTACACTACCTCCAACTTGTCAAAACTGATACTCAAAGATACAGCCATAGGCAGCGTTCCGAAGAGATACGGTGTGATGAAGGTGATCATCGGCCTTCATCCCATGTTTCTTTTTTTGTGCACACCACCCTTGTTCTGACCCATGCATGCATGCAACAGGCCAGGCATATGACGGATCAAAGCTTGCCATGGAACAGAGAAAATGTCAGGAGACAAATCCAGGAGGTGATTTCATTAAACCCATTCTTTTTAGCCACCTGCAGAAGTGGTGCGCACTAACCATTGTGTTTGGTTTCAGGCAAAAGCTTTCATAGATCGCTCACTGAAAGAGCACGCGCTGGCTAGTGCTGAGCGCAATACTTTGTTCTTTCGCAACTTAACTACACTTAACGACGGGACAATCACCTGCATGAACGAGAACATGCACAGAGAGATTGAAAGGCACCTTGCTAACAAGAGGGTGATGACAATGCGGGACATGCAAGCTTTGCTCAAGTACGTGGATGGGTTGGGCCTGGGTGATTCAGTAAACGAGCTTAAAAACCAAGTGATTGTAGTCGCTGCGCAATCAGGTAACCAGGACAACACACGTACTTTGTATCTACCGTTGCATTAATTCAGTGTCTGTTCATTTTTGGCAAAAAACAAATGATTGTTGGTTTTAATGCGCAGGTGCGTACCAAGGGGGTGCTTCCGGGGAAGGATGCAGTGGAGCACAAGCAGGAGAGCCTGACGAAATGATCCCCACGGCAGGCGTCCTTCGTCCTGGTAAGTTTTCCTCTTGCAGTGTGATAGATGCGGTAGATGTTACCAATTTATTGATGCCTGCTGAACAAGGAGTACGCGATGCAGTTGCCATCCGTCCAGTGCCAGTTCCTCCCACGAGCTCTGCCCATGGCCACATTGAGCATGCCGAGACAGGTGAGACCCAGCATTTATGCATATACCAACAGCGCCGATGCTTACTTCAGTGAATTAAATGATAAACTGGTTGCTTCCCCTCCAGGTCCGTTCCTTTTGCTGCCTGGGCAGCCACGCGACACCCACCACCCCGGTTCCGTTCTGCCGGGTGTGCCAATATTCATGTCCATGGGGTCTTTTGGCCAGTTGTATCTAGATGGTGGATTAGAGAATGTGGTGCAGCCTGTCCGGTGTGGCCAGCATGATGCAGGGGCTGGGCGGCCGATTGGTGAAAATATGGGCTTCGTGCAACTGGGGAAGAGGAAAGAAAGGGAGGTGGAGGACAGCAACGAGATCATTGTTTACCAGGGTAGACGTAAGTGGTTCCTGTGAATGGAATTTACTTATGTCAGGATACTGAATTTGTAGTCGCAGCTGAACGACGCTTGTCAATGCAGGTGTAGCTGTTCGTGAGTTAAACTTGCTGGCAAGGTTTGGTGAGGAGGGAGATGGGAAGAAGATCGTTATCTCCACGGAGAATGGTGTCTCACCATTCCGCATCCCGGAGTTCAATTACGAATTCGTGTCGCCTCTAGTCGCCCACGCCGCTTGGGTACAAATACAACAGTTAGCCCCAGATGTATTGAACAGGTACTGTTGGTCCCAGTGCATTTTGAGAAAACACTGAATTTATCGCATGTTGTCTGTTCAGCAGCTAGCGTTATATCTAACTGATCGCATCCCCGCCTTTTTGCAGTGTCTGGGTCGATCAAGAGGGTCTGCCTCATGTGAAAATGACTGGCTATGAAATTTATGAAAACTTTTGTCAGACACTGGATGACAAGGGTTTCGAAGTCGCAAACATGATGATGAGGGAACAAGATGCAAGGTGGTATGATCCTTCAGACAGGGCGCGTTTCCGTCACCCAATGTCGCCTTACTTTGCGGTATGTAATTCGAATCGGCGATGTTTAGTTCAATGATCCATACATGATTATCGTGGCCTGAGCGTCTTGTTCCTTGTTTCGTGCAGTCCCGGATCATGCAGGTGGGCGACGGTTTCTTGAGCGATCCTTACATAAAAAACTTGTTTGTTGGGGAGCACCTGGGATACGATGTGGAGACATGCCGCCTGGTAATCCCCAGCTGATCCGTAGATCATTAGTTCATAACCATGTTTTAGCATGTTACGTGACAACTGCATGGATGTGCTTTTTTCAGATAACTGTGCCGTTCAAGGACGAGGGAGGTTTCTATGTGCTCTATGTTTTCGACATGCTGAAGAAAATTGCTCACGTGATGGATCCGAGACGTACCCAGTGGAACCTTCTAGAGCTGGAGAGGCAGCACGCACGGGTCCTCGACAGGATGCTCTATGGGCCGTGCAAGTGCATTGACAAGTTTTTCAAAGGGTGGCATGTCCGAGAAGATGAATTCAAAAGGGCGGCTCACTGCCTGATGCATGAGCCATCGAACAGGTATGCGCCCCCTGTCCATCCGCTTTGATGTTTGATCTGCAGCTTACAATATCAAATTTACGTATAACTTGTGCTCGGATGCAGCGATGACACTCCGTTCTACACTCTACACTACACTATGTGCTTTGATGGGGAGTTCATGACAGAAGGGATGTGGGCGGTGCGTGCATTGTCCTAGCAACTATTTATTTTCGGAGTGATGAACTCTTTCTGAATATTTGTTTGGTTTGTGTTGTCAGGACAAGATGATGCGGTTCAAGCAGAAGCTCATGATGCTGGTGCTTACTATGCCAAGAAACAACGCCCTGCCTCCAGCCATCGTGTTAAACCCACCTGCCTGAAGCCTCTAAGGTTGTCAATTGTTCGGACTCCAAAAATGACTGCTGGATCTACTTTGTAATATGAACTCCAAATATTATTTGTATAATTAGAACTACCCATGCCAAGGGCTTTAGTCGTCAGTGCACTCATCTTCGTTGTGGAAGGCGCCTATCGGGCGCAAAGTTCCGTATCTTCAACTTGTAGACCTGAACACCGAATATTATATGTATAATTAATTTTATGTCATGTTGTCGGAAGCATCGGGACGAAAGCGTGTGTTTGGTTTGTTTCTTTGAATATGTTTTAGACAAAGTCGTGTGACCGCGTCTTCTTTTGGGTTATTGGGCGGTTTAGCTTCAAAGCTTTTTTCCTTGGAAGAACATCCACTCAAACACCAATCATCAATGGGAGTGGCACTCGTTTTAATAGAAACAGGAATGGTTTATGCAAGAGACCATGCAATTAGTTAGAAAACCGGATAATTCGGTGTATGTTTTGGGGCTCATTTGTTGTTTGAGAAGTTAAAAAATCCTCTTTGGTTCAATTCGTGTACGGCCAAACCGTTTACGTAGAAACCGCTCATCCGGTTCATCGACGGGAGTGAAGCTCATCTTGATATAAACAGAAACGGTTTACGTAGAAAACCACGCGATTAGTTAGAAAACCGATGAATTCGATGTATGTTTTCTTTCTCTCTTCACCGCTATCATGGTGTCGGAGGTGTCGCGAAGAAAAAATGTTTGGTTTTCTCTTTGCTTATGTTTTAGATAAAGGCGTGAAACGTGTGACCGCACCAAGGGGTTAAGTCGTCAGTGCACCCATCTTCATGGTGGAATGCACCTATCGGGCGGGAGTTCTGTTTCTTCAACTTGTATAATTAATTTTATGGTGTAAGACAAGTGCCGGTCATTTGTAAAACTACGGTGTATGACGAATGCCCCATGTTTGGTTTTTTAATACTTTTAGAAATCCTCTTTGGATTGTTTTCTTGTAAACATCACGAGGCATGTCCCACCATTTTTGTGTGTACCTATAGACTAGAGCTATGTTGTACGCAAAATGCCCCTCTTTTGAATTTGGAGATTTAAAAAAATCATCTGTTGTTTGAGTTCTTGGATTCCAAGAAGCTATTCTCCTTGGAAGAACATCCATTCAAATACCAAATAATGTTGCGGGAAAAAAATGTATGGTGTATGACAAGTGGCCCTCGTTTTGTTTTTTTGGAAAATGAGAAAATCCTCATTGTTTCAGTTCGAGTACGGCCAACACCCAATCTTGGGGGATTGGGTGGTTTAGCTTGGAAGCTATTCTCCTTGTAAGAAAATCCACTCGAACACCAATAAAAATTGCGGTGGAAAAAGCTATGGTGTATGACAAGTGCCCCTCATTTGTTGTTTGAAAACTTTGAAGAAGCCTCTTTGGTTCAATTTGTGTACGGCCAACACCCAAACCCACCGAAACACCAATTTATATTACGTTGGAAAATGTTATGGGGCTCATTTGTTGTTTGAAAAGTTAAATAAGCCTCTTTGGTTCAATTCGTGTACGGCCAAACCGAATCATCGACAGGAGTGAAGCTCATCTTGATATAAACGGAAACGGTTTACGTAGAAAACCACGCAATTAGTTAGAAAACCGATGAATTCGATGTATGTTTTCTTTCTCTCTTCACCGCTATCATGGTGTCGGAGGGTCGCGAAGAAAAAATGTTTGGTTTTCTCTTTGCTTATGTTTTAGATAAAGGTGTGACCGCGCCAAGGGGTTAAGTCGTCAGTGCACTCATCTTCGTGGTGGAATGCACCTATCGAGCGGGAGTTCTGTTTCTTCAACTTGTAGAACTGAACACAAAAATTTATCTGTATAATTAATTTTATGATGTAAGACAAGTGCCGCTCATTTGTAAACTACGATGCGACCATGCGAATAGTTAGAAAACTGGTTAACCATGTATGTTTTCTTTCTCTCTTGAAAGCTATCATGCTGTTGGAAGTGTCGCAAGAGAAAAAGTGTTTCGTTTCTTGCATTCCTAAAACTTAGAATGTGGCACCATGAAGCAGGCAATTTTTCCAAATGCCCCTCATTGGGGTTTGGAAATCTTCAAAAAATCTTCTCTTGCTTGGGGTCTTGAAGACATTACCGGGCACGTCCCATGTTTGCATTCCTAAGAGAATGCTTAGTATGTGATTTGTGTATGAAGACATGTATGAACAACATCGTAATTTTGGTTTGGGTTTTGTCGTCACAGAAAACGTCGTCACCTTTTTCGTTGAACCAGCGGAGATTGTTTCCTGGTCTCGGGCAAGAGAGCTGTCGACCACGATGTGGACCGGAAACAATGGTGCTGCCTCCTTCTCGTCGTGCGTGCATCGGAAAAGTCAGCCAGCTAACTGCGTGTGGACGCCACCGTTTCTGTGCGGCAGAGATATTCTAAGGCGCACGCGAATCTAGTTTTATTGCTCAGCAGTGCAACAGTACTGGCGCGACGGGAGGCAACTGTGCTATACGTCTGGGGTAGCTTGTAGCGTTGCAGGTAGCTAGCGCGCGTGTTCGAAACCCATGGCGTTTATACTTTGACCGATCGAAGCCCACAGTCTTTGATTATATATTACACTCACCGACTCATTACACGCATTAGAGGGCGAGTGATTATTATATATTACAATAATCGGTCCTGGTTGCCCATTACACGCATTACAGTACATAGATATTTGTTTACAGCCCCCGAAACGGGCTTGGTTGGCCACTAGACACATTACACGTACTAGGGTGCAAGCCCTGTGTTTATTTTATATGGAAGGGCAGCCAGCACACGAAACTTAGAGCTCTTGGGTGGGCCATGAGGTGATTAGTTTGGTGATGCTATCCGGCAGGGGGGCCATGTTGCCCTTCATTTCAACGAGCTCGGTCAGAATCTCCTGCCGCTCTCCTACGATTGATCCCTGCGTGGTTACGAAATGCATCGTTAGATTGTCAACTAGCCAGTCCACCGGTCGCAAATCCAAAACGCACGCAAATCGAAAAACGCACCTGTGACATATCCGCAAGAACCTAGTTGCCATCGAAGTGTTTTGCCACGCAGACAATCCAAATCCCGGTGTCCTTCCTGCGATCGGATTAATAATTTAACAATGGATTGTGCGTAAAACCGTTAAACGAGAAAGATAACTTACTGCTTGACTGTGGTAGGCGAAGTGACGTGGAAGATTTTCTCCCATCTAATGCAATCCACGTGCCAGTTGTTGAACAGCTTGTAAATCGTGGTGAATAGCGCCACGTGGAGCTTGTCGGCGACGGCTTCCACGAGGTCCGTGCGACGCTGTGTGGTGCAGCTCCCGTATGACGGATCAAAAATATTAATATTCTTGCGCTGCATATCCCAGTTGTACAGGCACCATCCAAAGTCGAAAATGGTTGGCAGGAAAAACTGCAAATGTCAAAGAAAATGGAGTGGTAAGCAGCATGGTCTGTATTTTTTGCATATCGTTAAACGGGGTGGGTTATTGACGCATACCATTCTGCACTCCGCGATGTTGTGTGTCAAATGCGGCCCAATGAACTGTGCCGTTGCAGGAACAAGTGTCCAGATTTCTTCTCCAGCCAAAGCGGCAGTCTAAGATAGAAGGTTGTCAAATTCTAAGAAGAAAAATGAGAGCGCTGTTGGTGATAAGGTGTTATTCATAATTTAGATACTGACCGATATATCTGGCTCTAGGAATAAACGAAAATGAGGCTGGTTGTTCACATAAAGTGACTCGCCATCGATCTGATCTTGACGTTGGAATATAAGAGAACATACTTCGTGGTCTAATGGGTCCTTTCCTAAAATCTGGGTCAATAGTGGGCTTGGGGTGATGGAGATGTACCTTGGCGTGGCATGAGTTACAAAAGGCCTACGGACAAAAAGTGTTAGTTCATGCGTGAAGAACATTACTGGTTTTGGTACGAGGATTGATGAAGTGGGTTGCATGTACCTTTTCGATTTCTTCAATTGAGATGCTCTTCAGGAATCCGTCGATGGCTTTCCATACAGGGACTTGAAAACTTGGACGGCATTTGCCATCAATCCAGTGCGACACGGCGAACCCCGCGTGCGCCCGCTCTTGCTTCGGTGGCAATTCAGATGAAGCCTGGCCGAACAGGACCGCGTCGGCCGGGTGCGCTGCATCTCCGTCCATCAACATAATCAAACCCGCGAGCCCGTCCCACCACCCCTTCTGCTCGTCTGCTGGTGATTGACTTGTGAACAAGGTTTTGGCTTGTGTGGGCGTGACAAAACCCGCCGTGCTGGTAGTCTCCTGGTCTGCCAGGAAAGATATGTCTAATCAGTAAAAAGGCTTGTCCCGCTTAGCACTAAGAAAAGAACATGAAATCGCGGAATCAATCAGTAAAAAAACACACCTGGGACAAGTGGCCCTTTCCTCTTCTTAGGCCCGGACGAGGCCGATGACGTGAACTTCTGACCAGAAGAGCTTTCCCCTATGAAAAAAAAATGAAACAAAAGGGTTTATTCGTCTAGCCGGTGGGGGAATAATTAGGCACGAGTGCACGTAATGGACGTACCATCGGATTCGGTCATTTCTAGCTTGCGACGGTAGATGTTCGTGCACTGCGGAGAACCCAAGGGGGCAGGTGTGGTGATGATGCATGGTACCGATCGGAGGCTGCAGCATATGCACCCCTCGCCGAGCTCACTAACTAGCGAGTTGAGAAACTGAGTGTTCTCTTGTATTAAGTCAGTCTTGAGGGTGTTTGCAATCCTAAAAGTGGTGGGGTTGTGCCGCTTCATCAGCATCCCGACACTCGAACTTGCCTGGGGCAGACCAGTCAAGCCTTATTTATCGAAGTCGGATAATGTGGCGTGCCCGATGAAATAGATGCGCGCATGCAGCAAAAAAATGATCGTTGATTACAAAATGATTGGCATACCAGTTTTGGGTAATTATTCTTTAGATACGTAGAGAAGTCGCCTCCGGTCGGCATGCGTGGGAAAAGAGGAGCTGGTGTGATTGGAGTGGGTGACGCTCCATGCGGCACTTGGGGCAGCCTGAACGAGATCGGTTGCGGATTAGCGATGGTGTGGGTCCTGTGTGGCCTAGCTGGCGCCCGTACTCTGTTGCATGGTAGGCCGGGCAGCATGGGAGCCGCGCGGCCAACTGGATCTGGTGGGGTGTCCCACGCACTCCTGGTATAGCACACCTGATCAGCCTCGCAGATCTGTACAGTTGATATAATTGCGGTTGAAGGATCAGCACGTGGGTTCGTAAAATCAAAACGTGGTTTTTAGAGGTGAATAATAAAAATCGGAAATTCAAGAACAGGACCATTGCGCCGGAGAAGTCTGTACTGCCTTTCCCCCCAACGCTGCACTGTAAAAGCATACGCCTGAACTGCATGTCGTCGAACACAGCTATTCGAGGGAATGTAGTGTGCGGTAGGTTGAAAATCCCGAGATCAAGGTTGTCTAGGTAAAAGACCTATTTACATAAAATAAAATGTTAAACGTGCGTATGGGCACAATTGATTCTAGCAGTAGAAATCCTGAAACTAACCTGCAAGAATAAATGGCAAGCGTGGAGATACGTGACAGGCCGTCCTGCCTTGAGATCTGCTTTTACTCTTGAACATGCAACCATCAACTCTTCTATCACGTACTCGCACCAATCAAACTCGCTAACGTGGTCTATCTGGACGAGTGCCCCCCAGTAATGCGTGTTTGTGTGATCGTGGGTCGTCGACGGGGCAAGCAGATGCCCCATTACGAAAATGACAAATGCCATTTTGAAACTGTCTATCTCGAGTTTAGAACTTGACTCGTCTATTGGTCTAACTAGTATTTTCTCGACAGCAGATAATAGGTTTTTACCGCTCGAGTTTATACTTAGCACATCGCGCACGTGGTTTGTCTCGGCGATCGACGCTTTCTGTATATGTACGCGGCCAGACGGTACTCCAAAAACTTTGAACACGTCCGCTGCCCTGAAGGACATTTGTCTGCCAGGACGGATGTAAATAGTTCTAGACAGCTCATCAACTCTAGCCATGATCCATATACTTAATCTCAGGCTAATCCTTGGCAAATGTGGCACCTCCAGTATGCCTTCAAAACCCATCTCCTCGACAAGAGATTGTTTGAAGTCATCAAAGGAATCAAGCTTGGCACGTACTTTTGTTGGAGAGCAGCGTGACGTTGGGGAGGGGTTGCTCGTGTCGTTCGTGCCCTGGGGGTGCATGGGTTCATCCATCTGCATACACACGCACACACGCGCGGACAAGGGGGATTGATTACACCTTCACGAGTACAGAATGAAAGAAAGGAGCAACGAGAAGAAGATGCTTACCTTACCGTTACCGGTGTCCGGCGACGGCCACAGCACGGCGATGGCGGTGGTGTTTACAGAGACGGTGAATCACGTGTTTGTGGCTGTGTGCTACCAGACGAAGGAACCGTGTGGTATGTGGGTCGAGGCTCGGGCCGCGGGAGCTCAATTTATAGAGCACGCGTGCCCTGGCGTCTTCTGCTCCGTTGCAGGCCATCGTAATTGGAGCAATCAATTAATCATGGGTGTGGCATTGATGGGGCGCATCGCCTTCTCTTATTGGCGCATTCAAGTGCATGGCGGACGATGACTGGGCGATGACTTATGACTCCACTCTCTCTTACAAAAAATACGTGTTTGCATCTGTTTCTTGATTAGAGACAGTCTAATTACGACGGCGGGGGTACATAATTAATTGCACTTAGCAGCTCCCTCCCTTGCATGGGCAAGCTGGACGTACTAACTGATACATGCAGATCGCTAGAGATACTGTAACATACGAAAAGGAAACGGCATTCCCTACGCAGAGGGGATACAGCCCATGTGTGACTACGACATTGCCCTGTTCATGGCCATGGCAATGCGGTGGGTACATCAAACTCCACTGAGCGGCAGCAAGACGAAGGCATGTATGAGTACGACACTACATACGCAGGACGGGGTGGTGCTTCAGAACTTGAGGAGGAAGATAGTGACCATGACCACCAAATTCGCGAGGCACATCATCAATATGTTCTTCAGGAATGCATGGTTCTGCTCGAGCAGCGCGACGTGGCGATGAACCGACGCGTGCGAAATCAGATGTCCCTACCGCTGGCTTAAGTACTGTATGTACTTGTTCTCCCACTTCCAAAACTTGCACCCTTCATGCTGCAGAATGAACAAGAATCAGCATGCCCCGGAAAACATGAGCTGCGAGGATATGAAAAAACTTACCCCATGCCGTTCGCACTTGTAGAAGTGCCTTTCTGGGTTTAGTTCTGTCCCGGAGACAAACCACATGACGTAGCCGGCGTTGCATTCGGGGCAACGGATGAGCGGGAGTGGCGGCATCTGGTTGCTCGTGTGATGAGATGGCGGTGGTGTCGCACTGCTACGGGACATGGACGAACACATGCTTTGCAAGCCCAGATAATCTGAGAATAATGGAGAATGGGAGAAGCTTGGAATGGCCATCCAAAGCAAGGAAGGATGGCGTTTAAATAGCCAGCGAGGAGCGTCGCCCAGCTAGCCATTGCGACTGAACGGTGACCAGCGCGATCTCCCTCACACGCAGTAAATGCGGTCGCTGCCTTCTGTTTCAGCTAGCCGTTGTCACTACCAGATGCCATGTGGGCCTTCACTGATGCGCAGAGATTAATACGAGAGCTATACGAGATGGGATACGCTGCCCAGTGGCCTTTATACGCGAACGTCGTATTGGAGTTAGCACGAATCGCGTGGGGACTACCGGTGCGGATAACGACCTTGCGTGGCCGCATGTGCACACGCGATTTATCATTGTCATTGGCTCCTATATTCTTCACAACTAACTATGCGCAACATGAAGATTGGGGAGGAGACATCTCTTCCACTCTTAAATCTATCCTTTTATTAATCAACACAGCTCTTAAAAAAACGTTAGCCAAATACAACTCATATCATATTATTCTAGTGTGTTAACTTCCACAGATTCTTTAGAAAGCAGGAACCATTTTCATGGTAAATATTTTTCATATATGTGATTTTTTTTCATTATGTACTACGCAATCACAGTTTTGGCACAAGACTAACACGGGCACATCTACGTGTTTTTTTTTCAGATTTTGTTGTTGTTGCGGAAACAGATGTTCTTTTTTAATGGTGCACTTGTGTGTGTTTCATACTGCTCAGTATTGCGCCCAAATATTTGTAAATATACATCGATAGCAAGACTCCAGAAATGTTCACTCACGTACACCTAAAACAGCACTCTTTTGTGACTGACGGTACACTTGAGAATAACAGCGAACCAGATTTGTTATTATTCTCCAACAAGCAACCTGAAATAGCAAAATACTCCCTCCGTCCCATAATATAAGAATATTTTTGACACTACACTAGTGTTAAAAACGCTGTTATATTATGGGACGAAGGGAGTAATGCTGAATGCACATAGCACCTATTTGACTAAGCACATGCGTGCAGTTATTCAAACATAAAAATATCATAGATACACATGCCCGCAGTAGAAACTGCTGTGTGTTTCCTGAACTTATTTGGAGGCTGCGTTTCCCGTGGGCTCTCTGCTTCTTTTAGGTCACCTCTGTGTGCTCATGGCTGCCCAATGCTAGGTTTGCAGACAAACAGAACCACGTTCTTTCAGGCTGGCACTGTCCATCAGACAGCCTGGTCCATACAGAAATTAACAACAGCTCCTTTTAAAATCTAAAAGAGCCCAAGCATCAGGAATCAGCATTAGTCGGAGAGACAATGTCCATGACAGCACAGAGAAGCTTTAAGAATGTGAGGGCCAACGCACTGCTGCATAATGTATGTAGTGCTAATAATACCAGCTCACTTTGGCCATCATCAGCATGAGGCTCACACACAACCAACCCACATGAGCAAATCAGAGTGGATCATCTTTACACAGTGTTTTATTTGCTATACCTTGGTACACAACGGCATTCCAGCAAGATGCTTTATCTATATGGACAGGAAAAGAATTCTACAACACAAATGTAGTTAGAAAAGATCAGGTAGAGCATTCTTCACCGGGCAAGTGAAGACCGGGAGAAAGTGAATCACTTAGTCAGACTTGCTCTGCGCTGCGAGTCCGAGATTAACAGGGCGCGCCTCCAAACCTCCTCCCTTGCGCTCCTCCAGAGTGTATGGCATGTAGGTCCCGAGGATCTTGTCCCACATGACGAAGAACGGCTGCGAGAAGTTGTACTTGTTGCCGTAGAGCTGGTGGTGGATGTCATGGTAAGCGCTGTTGTTGCTGAACAGCATGTGGAGGATATTCCCAGGAAGCCACAGGCCGCAGTGATCGTCGACGGTCTTGATGGTTGCGAATGAGAAGAAGAATATGGACGTCCTAGGAGTCATTCCGGCGACGAGGAACGAGAGGGCGCCACCAATCGTGTCCAAAATGAGGCCCTCGAGGGGATGGTTGTAAAGAGCGCCAAACGCGTATGGAACCACAAGAGTGTGATGCTTCGAGTGGATATGCTTGTACAAGAACTTGTTGATGTGCATGTATCTGTGCATGAAGTACTGCCATGTGTCCATAACAAACATTGCGATGATAAATTGCAGTGCTATCACCAGGGCGGGAGGCTGCTTTCTCACAGTACCGCTGTCATCACCAATGATCTGCATTTTATCACATTTGCAGATCTTAGGTACAGTTACCCGTGTATGAAATTTCATCAGGTAATTCTGAAATCAGTGTTAAAAGCCAGACTTTGTTCAAAGAGAGAAAAATAACTTCCACTGATAATGGAGATATATCTGTACTATTTAAGACTCAATTTCCTTTTGGAAAGCACGACCAGAAGTTCTGGAATTCATTAAATGAAGAACTAAAATGTTTGAAACTCGCCAGGCCTAGGTGCATAGTTCACTAATCCATCTACAAAACAAACAGCAAAATGACCGGAAAATAAATCTAAGCCTTAGTTTTAAATCAACAACATACACTGGTTTCAAGTCTTTCAAGATCTACTTCAACCAATAAAATCACGGGAAGCAACTTTACTGCCTTGAAATAAATTCCCCAATGTGAATACGACCATTGTGACTCTTGACAAGAGAGCTAACAGTTCATACATATTCAATCGACAAAAACAGCACTACATCCTCGTGGTCCATAAGTAATCTAAGACTCTCTTTCAATCTCCATATGAACACTAGACTGTTTGCTACTCAGCTATTTTTTCATGCTAAAACTGCCAACAGCAAGCTATTCCGTAGAAGGGTCTGAACTTGCTTGTTATTTTCAACAGAAAGGTTTGAACTCGCTGGTTTAACCATCATTCAGAAACTGTCAAAGACTTAATCAAAGCCTATGTTTCAAAATTGTTCACTGTGTCATGTCTGATTTAAACTGAATTTTAACCCAAATAGACCAATAATCTTTCTAACCACCCTGTATGTGGACATCCTATGAAGCTAAACCAGCACAACGAATCAGTCCACCATGGATTCAATAGCATCACAACAAGAAGTTTTCCATGGTAAAGATCATAATGTCAAGAGGATTATTTACCGTGAACAGGAGAAGTGAGACCGCAATCTGAAACCCCTGCTGCACAAGGACACCCTTGACGACCGTCCACTTGGAGACGACGTTCTTCACCTCCTCCTCCCCTTTGGGGTGGAGCCGGTAGTCGTCAATCTCCATCCTGTCCATCACGATGTACAGCCCCGAATAGAGCCAGTACACCGCAATCGGCACGAATGTGCCCAGCAGCTCGTCGGAGACCGCAAACGCCATCCCAGTGTCCCCAGCTCTCCAAATCTTTACTGCCTGTAGCCCGTCCACTATTTGAATCCTTCCGCTGCAAACACCCGGACAGTTAAAACTAGTACCAAATCGGGGACGGAGATAAAACGGGTGAAAAAAATCCAAATCTTGAGCCCAAACGCAGCATAAATCCAAAGGGGAGGGCACCAGCGCCAGCGCCGCCGCCAAGAACCGCAAATGCGCAGTCCTGGATGCGGTTCCGCAAAGCTGGAGCCCCAAGAAAGCGTTTTTGTCTGCAGAATCTGACAAACCAGGTCGGATCTTACCAGGCCGGAGGTAGGAAAGCTCCAGCAGCTCGCCGTCCAAGTGGCAGCGGGAGAGAGGGGAGGAGGACTTCCTCGTGCTGCCCCTGCTCGGAGGACGGCAGGAGACGCTGCAGACGGCAGCTTATTAAGGGGCTAGTTTAAAGCGGGGCGGCAATGCGTTGGGTCCGCGAAGGCCGGCGAGACCGGCGGCTGGCTTAGGGGGGATACCAGCCTGACCCGAGCGGCGACCGCGAGGAGGAGACCGCGTGGGAGAGGAGAGGAGAAGATAATTTGCGGCCGCCCACCCCTCCTATCGGTTCCTGTTTTGACTGATCTGAAATGCCATGGGCTCTGACCAGCTGACTGACGGAGGCGGCAGCTGAGCTGGGCAATCTTTTAACCCTAACGCCGGAGAAAATAATGGCGGCCGGCACGCGCACGGGATTCTCTGCGGCGGGGCCACGTGGGCGGAAGATCGTCGCAGCGAGATCGTGCGCCGTGCTTGCTTGGTGGAGTAGAGGATCCGTGGTGGCGAGACGATGAAATCCGCCGTCTCTTCTGAAGTTTTCAGGAGGTTCCAGATCTATTAGTAGAAAAAAATAAAATTCACTAGAAGTATAATCATCTTAGAATAATAAAAAACACTACTCCCACCATGTTACTTTATACAGTACATTTGTCCGGAAATACTTATCGAAGTAATGGATATTTGCAGACGAAGGGAGTATAAACAACGTCAATTCTTATGGATTGAAGGGAATACATCGAGTTCTCTAGATCATGAAACAAGCATTATTTTACAAATAAAGTTTTTAACTTTGACGAACGACTGTACAACATATAAAAATTAAACCATAACTTTTACATGTGAATACTTTAAGATTGTGTACATATTGACCTGGTTTTAGATCATATCGGATATAATATAATCACTCAGGCTTAATTTAAATTTGCAAATCTGGAGCAACCAGATTTGTATGCCTTAACTAATATGAGTGCATTTCGCTTGTTTAAGAAAAAGAAAAACAACATATGCGAGCAATCGTCCGTACACAAATTGTACTCCCTTCGTTCGGGTATCTAAGACCGGACGGCTAATTTGTCATAACCAAGGAGCGAGCACGAGATTAGAGGGGAGTTTTGAAATAGGGCAACCTCAAGTTGTTACATACCCTTTACTCGCAATTATTCCGGACAATCTCTTCCAAATATCGCTCGGATACCGCTCCCGCTCTCTCACATGCATTGAAATTAATAGATCGATTTAGTGTGCCCTGTATTTTATTTGTCCACCTCCTTTGCATGGATGGTAATCGTACAACTGATCCCCTCATGCACTGCCAATTAAGCTCTCATGGATCACCAATTTTTCATTAGGAATTGGATTCATGGCACCATTATGGGAAATTTCATCCTTGGCTTTGGGCTTGCAAAATTTCCAAATCTTTAAAATTATCCCTCCTTTTGCGATTCATAATTTTGTATCTGTCTACTTCCAATTCCATCAGCAATGCCTTCTTTCGATCTAAGTCAACAATCATATTGTCAATTAGACGGCGCATGCGATGGGCATGTGGCGGTGTCTGACGTGGTATTGCTAATGAGCCGAAGGAGACGCCCCTAGAGTAGATATGGTCAGACTTGGGAGAGACCCACTAGGTTTAGCTGGTCTCACTCATGGCAGATGGTGGCCCATCGGTGATATAGCCTAATTGACCGCATAGGTGGATATCTTTCCCTCTCAGCCTGGCTAGTCGTGGATGTGGTTCCTTCGATTTCATCCCAAAGCGAGTAGCTCATGCAGCATAGAATGCGGTAACCATGGTCTTCTTGGCCTAGTTGGGTGCTCTTGCGGATCATTTGTCCATGGGGCAACTGTGAGCTCGTCTGGTGGCAACGGAGGTGTAGTGCATGGCCCTCTCAGTCCAACCGGCCATGGCCACCAACTATTCGATGTTTGTTGTTTGATGATTGATGAATGCATTTTACACTCAAATTTACAAAATTTAATCTTGATATAACTAAGGTATTGTTGGGTAACGTAGCAGAAATTCAAAATTTTCCTACGTGTCACCAAGATCTATCTATGGAGAAACCAGCAACGAGGGGAAGGAGAGTGCATCTACATACCCTTGTAGATCGCTATGCGGAAGCGTTCAAGAGAACAGGGTTGAAGGAGTCGTACTCGTCGTGATCCAAATCACCGGAGATCCTAGTGCCGAACGGACGGCACCTCCGCGTTCAACACACGTACAGCCCGACGACGTCTCCCATGCCTTGATCCAGCAAGGAGAGAGGGAGAGGTTGAGGAAGACTCCATTCAGCAGCAGCACAACGGCGTGGTGGTGATGGAGGAGCGTGGCTATCCCGCAGGGCTTCGCCAAGCACCGCGGGAGAGGAGGAAGGAGAGATGCAGGGCTGCGTCATATAGAGGAGAGGAACTCGCGTGTTATGAGCAGCCCAAACCTCAACTATATATAGGGGAAGGGGAGGGGCTGTGCCCCCTTTAGGGTTTCCACCCCTAGGGGTGGCGGCCAGCCTAGATCCCATCTAAGGGGGCGGCCAAGGGGGAGGGGGAGAGGGAGGCACACCAGGATGGGCCTTAGGGCCCATCTGCCCTAGGGTTTGCCCCCTTCTCCTCTCCCTTGCGCCTTGGGCCCTTGTGGGGGGGCGCACCAGCCCACCTGGGGCTGGTCCCCTTCCACACTTGGCCCATGAAGCCCTCCGGGGCTGGTGGCCCCACTTGGTGGACCCCCGGGACCCTCCCGGTGGTCCCGGTACGTTATCGATAAACCCCGAAACTTTTCCGGTGACCAAAACAGGACTTCCCATATATAAATCTTTACCTCCGGACCATTCCGGAACTTCTCGTGACGTCCGGGATCTCATCTGGGACTCCGAACAACATTCGGTAACCACATACAAACTTCCTTTATAACCCTAGCGTCATCGAACCTTAAGTGTGTAGACCCTACGGGTTCGGGAACCATGCAGACATGACCGAGACGTTCTCCGGTCAATAACCAACAGCAGGATCTGGATACCCATGTTGGTTCTCACATGTTCCACGATGATCTCATCGGATGAACCACGATGTCGAGGATTCGATCAATCTCGTATACAATTCCTTTGTCTAGCGGTATTGTACTTGCCCGAGATTCGATCGTGGGTATCCCGATACCTTGTTCAATCTCGTTACCGGCAAGTCTCTTTACTCGTTCCGTAACACATCATCCCGTGATCAACTCCTTGATCACATTGTGCACATTATGATGATGTCCTACCGAGTGGGCCCAGAGATACCTCTCCGTCACACGGAGTGACAAATCCCAGTCTCGATTCGTGCCAACCCAACAGACACTTTCGGAGATACCTGTAGTGTACCTTTATAGTCACCCAGTTACGTTGTGATGTTTGGCACACCCAAAGTATTCCTACGATATCCGGGAGTTGCACAATCTCATGGTCTAAGGAAATGATACTTGACATTAGAAAAGCTTTAGCATACGAACTACACGATCTTGTGCTATGCTTAGGATTGGGTCTTGTCCATCACATCATTCTCCTAATGATGTGATCCCGTTATCAACGACATCCAATGTCCATGGTCAGGAAACCGTAACCATCTATTGATCAACGAGCTAGTCAACTAGAGGCTTACTAGGGACATGGTGTGTCTATGTATCCACACATGTATCTGAGTTTCCTATCAATACAATTCTAGCATGGATAATAAACGATTATCATGAACAAGGAAATATAATAATAACCAATTTATTATTGCCTCTAGGGCATATTTCCAACAGTCTCCCACTTGCACTAGAGTCAATAATCCAGTTCACATCGATATGTGATTAACACTCAAGGTCACATCCCCATGTGACTAACACCCAAAGAGTTCTGGGTTTGATCATGTTATGCTTGTGAGAGAGGTTATAGTCAACGGGTCTGCAACATTCAGATCCGTATGTACTTCGCAAATTTCTATGTCATCTTGTAGATGCAACTTCTACGCTACATTTGGAGCCACTTCAAATAACTGTTCTACTTGGAGCTATTCTAAATTGTTGCTCCATTATACGTATCCGATATCTCTACTCAGAGCTATCCGGATAGGTGTTAAGCTTGCATCGACGTAACCCTTTACGATGAACTCTTTTACCACCTCCATAATCGAGAAAATTCCTTAGTCCACTAGTTACTAAGGATAACTTTGACCGCTGTCCTATGATCCATTCTTGGATCACTCTTGTACCCCTTGACTGACGCAAGGCAAGGCACACTTCAGGTGCGATACACAGCATAGCATACTGTAGAGCCTACGTCTAAAGCATAGGGGACGACCTTCGTCCTTTCTCTCTATTCTGCCGTGGTCGAGCTCTAAGTCTTAACTTCATACCTTACAACTCGGGCAAGAACTCCTTCTTTGACTGATCCATCTTGAACACCTTCAAGATCATGTCAAGGTATGTGCTCATTTGAAAGTACCATTAAGCGTTTTGATCTATCCTTATAGATCTTGATGCTCAATGTTCAAGTAGCTTAATCCAGGCTTTCCATTGAAAAACACTTTTCAAATAACTCTACATGCTTTCCAGAAATTCTACATCATTTCTGATCCATAATGTGTCAACAACATATACTCATCAGAAATTCTATAGTGCTCCCACTCACTTCTTTGGAAATACAAGTTTCTCATAAACTTTGTATAAACCCAAAATCTTT